GACAGGGATGTCCACTCTCACCACTGCTGTTTAACATCGTGCTGGAAGCCCTAGCAGCATCAGCAATCAGACAACAAAAGGAAATCAAAGGCATCAGAATTGGCAAAGAAGTCAAACTCTCACTTTTCACAGATGACATGATGCTCTACATAGAAAACCAGACAGACTCCACCAGAAGCCTACTAGAACTGATTCAGGAATTCAGCAAAGTTGCAGAGTAAATAATCAACATACAGAAATCGGTTGCATTTTTATACACCAATAATGAAGCAACAGAAAGAGAAATCAAGAAACTGACCTCATTCACAATTGCACAAAAATACATACCTAGGAATAAACCTACAAAGATATAAGAGATCTGTATGATGAAAACTATAGAAAACTTATGAAGGAAATTGAAGAAGACACAAAGAAATGGAAAAACATTCCATGCTTATGGATTGGAAAAATAAATATTGTTAAAATGTCATTACTACCCAAAGCAATCTACACATTGAGTGCAATCCCAATCAAAATTGCACCAGCATTCTTCTCAAAACTAGAACAAACTATCCTAAAATTTGTATGGAACCACAAAAGACCCCGAAAAGCCAAAGTAATATTGAAGAAGAAAACCAAAACGGGAGGCATCACCATCCCAGACTTTAGCCTCTCCTGCAAAGCTGTAATCATCAAAACAGTATAGTATTGGCACAAAAACAGACACATAGACCAATGGAATAGAATAGAGAACTCAGAATTGGATGCACAAATGTATGGGCAACTGATCTTTGACAAAGCGGGAAAGAGTATCCAATGGAAAAAAGACAGTCTTTTTAACAGATGCTTCTGGGAGAACTGGACAGCAATATGCAGAAGAATGAAACTAGATCATTTTCTCACACCATACACAAAAATAATTTCAAAATGGATAAAGGACCTGAATGTGAGACAAGAAACCATCAAAACCCTAGAAGAGAAAGCAGGAAACAACCTCTTTGACCTCAACCACAGCAATTTCTTACTTGACACATCCCCAAAGGCAAGGGAATCAAGAGCAAAAAAGAACTATCGGGGCCTCATCAAGATAAAAAGCTGCACAGCAAAAGAAATAATCAGTAAAACTAACAGGCAACCGATGGAATGAGAAAAGATAGTTGCAAATGACATCTCAGATAAAGGGCTAGTATCCAAAATCTATAAGGAACTCACCAAACGCCACACCCAAAAAACAATCCAGTGAAGAAATGGACAGAAGACATGAACAGACACTTCACCAAAGAGGACATCCAGATGGCCAACAGACACATGAAACGATGCTTAGCATCACTCACCATCAGGGAAATACAAATCAAAACCACACTGAGATACTACCTCATGCCGGTCAGAGTGGCTAAAACGAACAAATCAGACTCTAGATACTGGAGAGGGTGTGGAGAAATGGGCACCCTCCTACACTGTTGGTGGGAATATAAACTGATGCAGCCCCTCTGGAAAACAGTGTGGAGGTTCCTCAAAAAAATTAACAACGGAACTCCCCTATGACCCAGCAATAGCACTGCTAGGAATTTACCCGAGGGATACAGGAGTGCTGATGCATAGGGGCCCATGTACCCCAATGTTCATAGCAGCACTCTCAACAATAGCCAAAACATGGAAAGAGCCTAAGTGCCCATCAACTGACAAATGGATCAAGAAGATGTGGTTTATCTATACAGTGGAATACTACATGGCAATAAAATTTTTTATTTTAAAATGAAGAGAAATAACACAAGAAATACAAAGCTTTATAAGAGTATGAATTATTATATACCAACAAATTGGAAAACCTAGAAAAAAGTAAATTCTTAGATGCATGTAACCTCCCAAAACTGGACCAGGAGCATTAGAAAATTTGAAGAGACCAATTAGCAATGAAATTGAATCAGTTGTGAAAAAAACCCAAAAAACAGAAATCCAGGACCGGATGTCTTCACAGGTAAATTCTATGAAAATGGCAAATACCTATTCTCCAACTGTTCCAAAAAATAGAAGAGGAAGGAAAGCTTCCAAATTCGTTCTATGAGACCAGCATTACCCTGATACCAAAACTAGATAAAGATACCACAACAAAAGAGAACTACAAGCCAATATCTCAATGAACATAGATGTAAAAACTCTCAACAATATATTAGCAAACCAGATCCAACAATACATTAAGAAAATCATTTACCATGACGATCAAGTAGGTTTTATTCCTGGGTTACAAGGGCAGTTCAGTGTCACAAATGAATCAACCGGATACATTATCACACCAAAAGGGAAAGGTTGAAAACCATACAGGCATTTCAGTAGATGCAGAAAAAGCATTTGCCAACATCCATTCATGATAAAAACCCTCAACAAAGTATGTTTGGAGGGAACATACTTCAACATAATAAAGGCCATATATGAAGAACCACAGCTAACTTCATACTCAGTGGTGAAGGACAGAGCTTTTCTCCCAAGATCAGGTCAGGACAAGGATGTCTGCTCTTAATCACGTTTATTCCATACAGCACTGGAAGCCCTAGCCATAGCAGTCAGACAACAAAAAGAAATAAAAGGCATCCAAATTGCTAAGAAGAAAGTAAAACTTTCAGCTCCTTGCAGATAACATGATACTATATATAGAAAACCCTAAAGACCCTACCAACAAAACTCCCAGGACTAATTTTTTTAAAAAATGAATTCAGTAAGGTCACAGGATACAAAATCAACATTTAAAAAATCTATTGCATTTCTATACACTAATAATGAAGTAGCAGAAAGAGAAATTAAGAAAACAATCCCGTTTATAATTGCACCAAAAAGAATTAAATACCTAGGAACATCCTTAAGTGAGGGGTGATAGATGTGTATTGAATTTTAAAACACGGATGAAAGAAATTGAAGATGACACAGTGGAAAGATATTCCATGCTCACAGATGGGAAGATCATATATTGTTAAAATATTCATACCACCCAAAGCTATATACAGATTTAATGCAATCCCTATCAAAATACCAACAGCATTTTCATAGAAGAACTAGAACAATCTTAAAATTTGTATGGAATCACAAGACCCAAACAGCCAAAGCAATCTTGAAAAAGAAGAATAAAACTGGAAGTATCACAATCCCAGATAACACAATACACTACAGAATTGTAGTAACCAAAACAGTGTGGTGCTGGCACAAAAATAAACCTATAGATCAGTGGAACAGAATATAGAGCCCACAAATAAACCTATCCTTATATGTTCCGCTAATCTACAACAAAAGAGGCAAGAGTATACAATGATGAAAAGACAGTCAACACACACACAAAAAAAAAACCCAAATATTCCGTTGAAAAATGGGCAGAAGACACAAACAGACATTTGTCCAAAGAAGACCTACAGGGGCGCCTGGGTGGCTCAGTCGGTTGTGTGTCTGACTTCAGCTCACGTCATGATCAGGTAGTTTGTGAATTCAAGCCCTGTGTTGGGCTCTATGCTGACAGCTTAGAACCTGGACCCTGCTTCAGATTCTGCGTCTCCCTCTCTCTCTGCTCCTCCCCAACTTGTGCGCTTGCTCTCTCAAAAAAAACATTAAAAAAATTGTTTTAAACAAAGAAGATCTATAGATGACCAACAGACACATGAAAAGATGTGCAGCATCACTCATCATCAGGGAAGTGCAAATCAAAACCACAATGAGATACCCCTCACACCTGTCAGAATGGCTAAAATAAAAAACAAACAATAAGCGTAGGTGGGGATGTGGAGAAAAAGGAACACTTGTGCAGTGTTGGAGGGAATGCAAACTGGTGCAACCACCCTGGAAAACAGTATGGAGGTTCCTCAAAAAATTGAAAATAAAATTACCATATGACCCAGTAATTCCACTACTGAGTATTTACCCAAAGAATACACAAATACTAATTTGAAAAGGTACGTACACTTCTATGTTTACTGCAGCATAAGTTACAATAGCCGAATCATGGAAGCAACCCCAGTGTCCATTGATAGGTAAATGGATAAAGAAGATGTGATAGAAGTTTATTTATTCTGAGAGAGAGTGAGCTGGGGAGGAGCAGAGAGAGAGAGAGAGAAAGGGAGAGAGAGAATCCCAAGCAGGCTCCACATTGCCAGTATGGACCCCGATGCAGGGCTCAAACTAATGAACCGTGACATCATGACCTGAGCTGAAATCTAGAGTCAGGTGCTTAACTGACTGAGCCCCCCAGGCTCCCTTTCTTTATGATCTTTTTAATAACATTTTCTTTTCTCTAGCTTACCTTATTGTGAGGACATGGTATATAATATATATAACGTATAAAATCTGTGTGAATTGACTGGTTATGTTACCAGTAAGGCTTCTGGTCTACAGTAGGCTGTTAGTACTTAAGTTTCTGGGGAGTCAAAAGTTACATGCAGAGTTCTGACTACATGAGGTGGTGCCCTAACCCCTGCCTTGTTCAAGGGTTAATTTTCTGGGTATTGTGATGATTTTCCTATTTATCATCTTTTTAAGTTCGTAAGTTGCTGTTATTTCTTTCATCATTCCAAATACATATTCTTTTTTACATAAAAAAAGTAAAATAATAGCTACAAACGGTTGACTGCACCCTTTCTGCCAGGCTCTGTGCAGGATTCTGGCTTCTCTCGTTTAGTCCTCATGAGGGCTCTTCAGATGGGGAGGAGGGAGACTCGGGGTCCAGGCACACACCCAGGGTCCTGGAGCTGGGGAAGGGCTGCGATGCAGACCTGGCGTATACTCCATTCTGGTCTACCAGTCTGCACGTTGGAAGGGAAGGCACCCGCTGGGCATGTCATGGTCAAGTAGCAGGGTTGTGAAATTTTCTTTATGCTTTTTAATGTTTCCCCCGCCTTCTTTTTCTTGCGTTAGTATTTGTTAACTTTCAGAATCAGATGAAAAAAACCTTTAAATGAGTTAATGCAGTAACGCCAGATTATATTATATTTTGTGGTATTTACATTAACCAGTCTTTTTTTTTTTTTTTCCCCCAACCCATAAAGGGCTTGTAACTCAGTATTCACCGCATTGGAGAAAAGTCAAGAAGCAGTGGAAATCACAAGTGAAGACCATGTTATACAGGTTTGTTATTTGAGAGGGTCATCTGTCTGAATTTCTGGTTTCGTTTGCTTTTATTTTCAGGACTGAACCGCTCCGATATGATCTTTTTTTTTCTTTTTGAAGTTTAAAAGACTAAGTTTTCCTTAGAGGATTATCAGAACAAAGTCTATAAAATATGTAATTTCAACTTAAGTTCCCTATGGGTAAGAAAAGATACTAATAATTATTTTAGGTGCTGGAAAATATTCTAGCACATTTGCATTTATTATTTTTTGCCTTTTTGTTTATTTAGCAAGAGGGGACTTTTATGCAGAGGGATTACCGCTGGGGTGAGCGGAGGCTCTGACCGCAAGGTCTGCAAGTTCTTGCCTTTTTCACTGGTTTTGAAGATAGTTTATACCTATAGAAATTTACCAGAAACTTCTCAGAATTTCCAGAACAACCTAGTAGTCACTGAACAAATGCCCCATTAGTAGCAAAGTGGATTCATAAAAGCAGCTTAAGGTTACATGGCTTGTACTTTTTAGATAACAAGAGAGGAGTTGTGCTGAGGAAACGCTCCTTTTGTCTGAGAATCGGCTCCATTTTGATTTTGGTTCCGAGCACTCCTGCTCCTCATTTTAACCTAACTTGTGACTTTCTCAGTAAAGAGCTCCTGATCCTGACTTTCAGGAGTTTGTGCCCAAGAGGCAACCTGGGCCAGTGGCTGTGGGTACAAGCCAGTGTCAGACAGGCGGGGTGCAGGCACCTTGGCCCTTTCGTAGCTGAGCATCATTGGGCAAGTTACTTAATCTCTCTGAATGTGCTCTCTCAGCTGTACAGACGGGAAAAATTTTCTGTTAAAGTTTATTTTGCAGGGGCAGAGCAGCGAGGGGCGTAGGGAGAGAGAGACTCTCAAGCAGGCTCCACACTGTCAGTGCAGAGCCAGACACCGGGCTTTATCTCACAGTTTGTGAGATCATGACCTGAGCTGAAATCAAGAGCTGGACACTTAACCAACTGAACCACCAGGCGCCCCAGGGAATAACTTTTTTTTTTTTAATTTTAACATTTATTTATTTTTGAGAGAGAACTAGAGACAGAGCACAGGTGGGGGAGGGGCAGAGAGAGAGGGAGACACAGAATCCGACAGGCTCCAGGCTCTGAGCCATCAGCACAGAGCCCGACGCAGGGCTTGAACTCACAGACAGGGAGATCACGGCCTGAGCCTAAGTCGGTACTTAACAGATTGAGCCACCCAGGTGCCCCAGACGGGAATAATATTAAAGCTCACAATATTACTTATTGCCTTTTGTAAGGATATTCTGAGGACTACGTGGGTTAAGGTGTGTGCAGTGCATACTATAATGTCTAGCAAGGAAAACAGACCTTAAGCAGTATAATTTGTTGCTTTATTATTATTATTCCTAGCACATGTTCAACTTTCCTATACATTTTCTTCTGGTCTTGTAGTCCTCTTTGAAATTTAGCCATCCAGTCTTAACACCTGTAAATACTGCGCAGTTCATAGCCTGCTTTGATTATTCATGTGTATCACACGAGCGCAGCAAGATAGTTATTCTGTTCCCATTACACAGATAGGCAGACTGAGACTTAGAGGGGTTAAGGGACTTGGCAGAGGAGGGTCTGAGTGCTTCAGACTTCAGCCTGGCGCTTTATTCTACTGGATCATAATCCAAAACCCTTTTGTAGCAACCTGGGCCTGTCTTTTTTTTTTTTTTTTTTTTTTTTAATGTTTTATTTATTTCGAGGAGGGAGAGAGACAGCGTGAGCAGGGGAGGGTCAGAGAGAGAGGGAGTCACAGACTGAAACAGGCAGTCAGCACAGAGCCCGACGCGGGGCCCGAACCCACGAACCGCGAGATCATGACCTAAGCGAAAGTCGGACGCTTAACCGACTAAGCCACCCAGGCGCCCCAACCTGGGCCTGTCTTGTGGCTTCTTTCCTCTGTTGGTGCTCAAGTGGGATCGGGCCAGCTCCTCTCCTGGGACCTCCGGCCCAATGCAGAAAGCCCAGCCCCGTGTCCCCGTAGCAGAGGCTTATCCAGGGATCAACTGGGCTTACGCTCTTACGGCTTTAGAACAGTCTAGAACGGTCGTGGGTAGCTCCGGGCTCCTTGAGGTTTCTAGAAGGGAAACAGGATGGCTTGGGGTGAAGACCGTGATTGTCCTCTTTTCAAAGTGTCTTCTAATCTGGTTGATGTTTCTTTTGTCTCCCGCCAGTACGCGAACCCTGCATTTGAAACAACCATGGGCTATCAGGCAGGCGAATTAATAGGGAAGGAGCTTGCAGAGGTGCCTATAAATGAAAAGAAGGCTGATTTGTTCGATACTATAAATTCATGCATCAGGATAGGCAAGGTAAGTAAGAGGTCAGTCCCTTTTTTACTTTCACACAACAAAGAGGCAAGGAAGGAGACCTCCTGCTCACCGAGCATTGCACACGCCAGGTAATCGGAGTCACTCCTCGCAGAAGCCCGGGGAAGCGCCGCCAGTGTCGTCCCTGTTTGTGCAGTCTTGCACATGAGGGGAAACTGAGGCCAAGAAAGGGTAGAATGTGATTAGCTGTTACAGAGAGTGATTTTAATCGACACTTAAAATTACTCTTTTCATCGTTATAATAAATCAATTGATCTTTCTAATAATTGACCTCCTGAGTGGTCGGTGTTGGCACATGGCCGTGGGCAGAGGAGTGCCAGTGAGGTCAGGGACAGGTCTGAGCCCAGTAACCCTCGGAGCCTCCTGCATCCGTACCACCCCTTCTGGAATGCCTCCTGTGTGCACACACCCTGCTAGGTTCTGGTGTAGACACACTCCTGCCCCAGAGAACTCCTGTTCCAAGGGTGCAGATGGGACGAGTCACATGATCGTAGCGCCGGAGGGTCAGGTGGAAGACAGGCCCCGTCTGAAGGGTTATCTCTCTGAGCAGTGGCTCCCGCCAGCGCCTCTTTGTTACTGGCTTTCCTGGGTGATGACCGGGAAAAGGCTGATGCTTTTCACAGTCTTTCCTGCTGGGATCTTGTGAAGCTTGGGGAGTTGGGGAGAGACTGTTAATCTGATGACTCCGACACTGCAGGTACTTGTGGCCTGCTCTCTTGCCCGCTGCCCTGTGGCATCCGGCCAGTGCCTGTCCCGTGGCCCGGCAGAGCACGTCACCAGGGCCCCGGAGACCCCGTTGGTGGGTTCGTGTCCCTTGGCTCTCCCGTGGCGCTGAGCACCCAGAACAGGGACAGGGCAGGCTGCCTGCGACGGCCCAGTGACATGCTGTCTGGGCAGTAACCAGAGTGGGCACTTCTCGAATCCCATTCTGCCTTCAGCTTTTCTGTCAAGGACGGTGATTTTCCACTGGAGACAGTGGCTCTGTCCTCCGGAAAGAGCATGGAGGCCAAGGCAGATGAGAGCCCTCAGGTGCTCCGGCGCCCTGCCCGGGCCCACCTGGGGTCCTTTGCTCGGTTGGAAGGGGCGTCCTCAGAGGGTGGTGACCGAGCCGCAGTCCCAGCAGCCTTGGGTCAGCTTTCCCACGACCTTCCCGATCCTGGTGTTCGGGCCCCAGGCTGCTGCCGCATCAGCCGGTGGCTCTGTTGTATGGCCAGCCGGGCGCGAGCCATAGATGATGGCCTCGCATGCCTTAATCTGGTCACAGGAACACGGAGGCCCCCCGCCCATCGCGGAGGAGGTAGGGGTGGTGACGGGGCGGTTAGCAGGCTAGAGCCAGGCCCTGGGATCCATCCAGATCCGTGTTAACGACGTATGAAGGTACAAAGGGCCTCAAGCTTAAACAACTGAGACCCTGTTCCCTAAAATCTGTTGTGAGCAGAGAATATGAAAGATTATCATATTATGCCACCAGTACTGTTTTATTTCTGAAAGGAACATGGGTATCTATTTTGTGTGTCGCGGAGTTCCTGGGGACAACCATCTGCCCTTTGTCAGTAACCTGCCGGCTCCCCAGGCCTGCGCTGTGACAGGACAGGCCGCTTAGCCGGGCAGGTTTCTGATGTGAAGAAGTACATGGCCTTTCTGATCGGGTCTCCCGGGGAAGGAGAAGGGCTTGCCGAGGGGTCGGCCTGCCCTGGGTTCTGTGGCGAGAGCTCAGGTGTGTCCTGGGAACCAGAATGGGGACTTAGGAAGTAGTTAGGTGACAGCGATGGGGGCTTTGGAGGGTCACATTCCAGCTGTGCCCCTTGGGGATAGAGAAGAAATTCTGAAGATGTGCAAACAGGGAGTATTGCAGACGCTCCCCTCCACCCGCTGTTCTCAGCCAGCGGCCACTCTCTGGGAGAACATTGCTCTTAGGTGACCTTGATTTTCAGCCTGCACGCTCAGGCTTGCTTGCCTCCCTGTCTGTCTCCTTCCCGAGTCCCTCCTCTTCCTCGTCTCCGGGACTCGCCTAGCAGGCTCTGGAACCTGTGGCCTCCTCTTCACAGGTACCGAAGGCTTACAGGTGCTCTTCTCCTTTAGACATTGTGGATTTTCTTCCCTCCGAAATTGTGTCCCTTGGCGCTGAGCAAATGCCAGCTGCTCAGGGGCCTGCCTGTAATAATGACGTATGGCTGCGGAGCCCTCCCACTAGCTTTTCAGAGCTTTGAGCTCCGCTTCCTCTGCTTTCTTCCGTCACCGGCTCCCTCTTCTCTGGCTCTTCTTGCACGTTTCCTCCACATTCACCATCGTGTTTCATCCCCGCTGTTCTCAGAAAGCAGCCTGTTTGGTGAGGCCCCTTTGCTACCCTACACGGATGTCCCACACCCCCCGCTTTTAGCCCCGGCCTCTCCTCCAGGGTTTCGCACAGCGCCCCGCCATCATCTTGACATCACCTTGTCTGACAGCGACTTCCTCTCGTCCCCTCCAGCCTCTGCTGTCTCTGCCTGTTGGCCGTCCTCACACTTGCCTGGACGCCCATCCCTGGAGAACTTTCGGCTCCTCCCTACCCTCCAGGGTCAAATCCATCACTCAGCCATGATGCTGTTAAACCCCTGCCTGGGAGAGTCCCCTGCCTGGGCCTGACCTGGTGCAGGGCTTTCTTGCCAGTCCTGGTTTGTGGTGGCTGAATCCAGTCAGGTCTCCCCCGTGACCTGCACTTCCAGTTGGCACACCCCCACTCCTGAGTGATTCGTCGAATCACGTCGCTTGGCCGGTGTAGAGGTCACATCCCTTGGCCTGTCTGCGAGCATTCTCCAGTCTGACCTCAGCCTGCCTTTTCCATTCGGGGAACAGAAGCTCCAGTGTCCCCGGACTGTTGACCTTGTGCAGACCCTGGGGACAGGACAGCCGGATGACAGAGATGTCATTCTTAGACCCTGGGCACCAACAAGGGGCCTTCGCAATGGTCAGAGACGCCAGCTCGGTGCTGAGCTTACCCCCAAACAGCAAGGTGTGGGCCCTGGTGCAGTTCTGAGGGGGCTCAGCCCGAGGACAGAGGCCAGTGCAAAGCCACCTGGGCCGGAAACAGGCCACAAACAGGTTGTGGTGTTAGGACCCCGTGCTTTCCCAGATGTGGTCTCTGTAACCGCATTCTGAGATCTAGAACTAAAACTTAGGTATTTATGATGAACATTTATGATAAGAAATACAATATGTGCTAGTAACTATTGTTTGTTTCTGTTGGTAACTGAAAAACTTACATGTGAAACTGTTCTCCAAGCAGAGCCTCTGGCTAAACTGGCCTGTTCCGAAGCCAGTCTGTTCGCTCCCGCCGAGCCGGCTTCTTACACCTCTGCTTCGTGCCCACGTCCCTTCAGACAGGATTGGAGGAGAAAATCCTGCAGATATATTTTAAAGTGCTAATTGATTGATGGATTGAATTGGTCTTCCATTTTTCTCCCTCTCTCTCTCTTTTATATGACAGCTCTATTGAGAGAATTATTCTCTGTTGAGAATAATTGAGAATCCACACGCCATGCGATTTACCCACTTAAAGTCTACAATTCTCTGGTGTTTGGTCTGTTCACAGAGTTTTGCACACATCACCACAACCAGTTTCCCCTGTTTCTCTTGATTGAGAGCTTCAGAAGTAAGTCTTGGACCCGTCTGCTGAAGCCCCCTTGGGGGGTATGTGGGCGGTGGGTATGGAGGGCACATTGAACCTTCCTGCTCAGGGACCCCTGTTTAGTCCTTGCCTGTTCCGGGCACAGGCCAGTCTCCCCTCAGAACCGTAGCGACGAAGAGCTTCCCCTCCCTTCTGCCCTGGGCTGCGTAAGCCCGGAGCTGGGCTCCCAGGCATTCACTTCAGTCCTGCCGTGGCGCCCAGTGTTCTCAGAAGCCCGTTGGGAAACGTCGGTAACCGTCCGTCACTTCTGTCAGAACATCCGGGTGTCTGCTGTCTGCTTTCTCAGGGGAGCCTGAAGATGAGGTTTTCTGTTGGCATTGGCACGCAGGTTGCCATGCTGTACACATGGAAGACTCCAGAATTGACCCTGTGTGAGGCTCTGGCCAGGAGATTGGAGCCAGGCCACCAAGGCTTCCCTCCTGGGTCAGCCCCGGGTCCTGGGGGATCTAGAAGGGCAGGGAGGCTATGGAGCAGCCTAGGAGCTCAGTGTCCCACAGTGGGTTTTAGGGATATTTAGAGCTTGGGGACCTTGGTGACTCTCAGAGGGATTCAGAACCTTTCGGGTGGGGACAGAACCCCACTCCCTCCCTGGCCTGCCCTCGCCACCTCAGGGGCACGGGAGCCACACGCAGCCCCTGTTGTCTCACTGTGGTCACAGCGCCTGCTCACCTGCTGTCCCAGGCTGCGGTTTTGTTCTAAAAAGGTCCCTATATGTTCTGTCTGCTCACAAGAGCCCGGCTAGAGGTACCGCAGCCCCGCCGACGTGTTCTTCCTGAGCCCGGACCGGGCTGTACCCGCCGCAGCCCGCAGCCCTCACGCAGCCCCGCCGTTCCTGAGGGTCTCCCCTCCCCAATGCAGGGGCGCAGGCTGCACTGCCCTCCCCTGCGCACAGGTGGGAGCAAGGATAGGACCCGTGTGCGGAAGGGAGCCGCGCTCTTCACTCGGGCCCGGGGCCTCTTGCCGGCAGCCAGCCCCTGGCCTGTCACCACTCAGGCCGCGGGGGCTGCCGTCTGTCAGCAGCCCCGGAGGACACAGACTTGGGGAGATGGGCAGGTTACCCAAAATCACGTTTGGGGTTGGGATCATTTCTTTATCCTAATCGCTTTAGCCACGGTACATGAATCCAGACGTGAGCAGAAGATATTCTTGGGTTTGTGCTCGCAACACACGGTGTAATGATGCTTACGTTCCATTTTTAGGAGTGGCAAGGAATTTACCATGCCAAAAAGAAAAACGGAGACAGTGTCCAACAGAACGTGAAGATAATACCTGTCATCGGACAGGGAGGGTGAGTGGAAACTGCATACTTTGGTCGGCACGCTCTGGTTGGCTTCACTGCAGAATTTGCTCTGAATACTGACAGAAGTTAGGAACCGCAGGCAGAAATTTAAAAGACTTATAACAAAGTCGGATGTCATCCAAGAATGACATTCTTCCAGACCATTCCTTGTGGCTGCAGCCTGGCCCTCTCACTTGCGACCTGGAGCCACCAAGTTCCAGACGGTCTTGCTTCAGCTGCACAGACACAAAAGAGACTGATGTATTTAAATGAGAGTGTCACTTTATTAAGCTGTGTGTGAGGAACACTAACTGCTGGGCTCCCTGGATTTAGAAGATTTTTACCTAATTTGATAGCCTGTGTATTATTTCTGCATAGGCCTGTCAAAGAGATCAAGGTGTTTAAAACACTACCCTTTATAGCAATTCTCATAGAAAACAGAGGCGCCTGCAGATTCCAGAGGGTCGTCTAGCAGGAGCCCTGTGGTGTGTCTTAGTCCATCTTAAATAGGAAGAACGCTGGGAAATGATGAATGTGAATTACAGGACACCCAGCAATAAAATGTGCAACCGTTAGAAATGACGAGCGTAGAAAATTAAACAGTCAGGGAAAATGCTTAAGATAAATGCAAAAATGAAAATGTAAAATCATACCCACTGTGTGATTTCCATCCTGAACGTAGAAGAAGGGAAGAAAAGAGCAGGAAGAGCCATGGCAGTGGGGGTCCCACGAGCTGCTCTGTTCCTCGAGCCCGGCACCTTCCCCTCCCCCCCTGCCCCGGGCAGGCTCTCCGCGCCTGGGAGATGTCAGTTCATTGCATCCTAAGCACACACTGTGGCATCAGCACTCAGTCATCCTCATTTTACAGATGAGGAAACTTGAGGCCCGAGAGACGAGGTTTCTGGCCCAGGGTCCGGCCGCTGCGGTGTCCGCATGGCTCACACGCTTGGTCACCAGGCTTGGCTGCCAGTTGGCGATCGCCTCAGGGAGGCAGGGCTGTGTGGGCTCTGCTCTGATTCTTTGCCTTTTTGTGTCCTTTCCAAAGTTTTTGCAGTAATTATATAGGGATTTAATTCTCCAGGGGAAAAGTGGAAAAATGGAAGGCCCAGTAAATAAGTGAGGAGTCAAGTTTGCGACTTCCGGGATGAGCCCTGGGTGCTTTGTCTCCGGCGCCTCCCGCCCCACGCTCTGAGCTGTGTGTGGCCTTGGCCCCCAGCGTGGCCTCCGGCGCCGCCCTGAATGACCATGAGCACACAGTGAGCACGCTGTGTGTTAGAACCTGAGAAAGAACATCAATACAGAGGCCTATGAACATGAAAACATGCTAAGGACTTCAAGGCTTTTGTTTGGTTAAGAGTCCATTTTTTTTTTAATATTTTTATTTATTTCTAGGAGAGAGAGAGAGAGAGACAGAGTAAGCAGGGGAGGGTCAGAGAGAGAGGAAGTCACAGACTCCGAAACAGGCTCCAGGCTCTGAGCTGGCAGTCAGCACAGAGCCCGACGCGGGGCTCAAACCCACGAACCGCGAGATCATGACCCAAGCGAAAGTCGGACGCTTAACCGACTAAGCCACCCAGGTGCCCCAAGAGTCCATTTTTTAAAACACGGGTGTTTTTATTCTGCGTTGTGATGACTTGAAAGAATCGTGTTATTTTTACTGAAGAGTCCTAGCTGCTTGTCTACAGACACCAGAGGGTGTCCGTAGACTCTGGTGTGCCTTTGGTGGCCTTGGCCACAAATAATAGAAGCGCTCTCCTCCAAACATTTTGTGTCTTTCACGATGAAAATCAATTAGCTACGTCTCCGTCAGATTAGAGAGCCAGGAGAGAAATAACACATTGTTTTCTACTTACAGAAAAATTAGACACTATGTGTCCATTATCAGAGTGTGCAGTGGCAACAATAAGGTACGTAAGGGGGGCCCTGGGCCGCCAGGTGTACCCCACCGAGATGGCCCTGCTTGTACGAGTAGCAATCGGAACTAACGGCTTTTACATTCATTTCCAGGCTGAGAAACGAAGTGAAAGTGTTCAGTCTGACCCTCACACAGGTACGCTGCTCCGCGTTCCCTGCTAGGGGCCTTCAAACTTTTGAAACAAAGGGAAACAGACCCCTGCTCTGTCTGGCGCCTTGTGCGCAGGTGGGACTGCTTTCCTAGCGCCATGACCGTGTTTCTCTCCCTGACTCCCTGGCCGGGGTGACTAGTCCAGGGGCCCGAGCACTTGTGGGGGTTCTGATGGGCATCAGGGGTGGGGAGAGAACTGCTCACCTCCAGTGCATGAAGTCGCACGAAGACGCGTTGAGGAAATTGTGGTTTGTTGGCCTCATCTGTGCTCCAGAAGGCAACAGCACCGGGTGTCAGGCTTCAGCACTGAGCCGGGACATCTTCATCTGACAGTTGTCCCCTGCAGCCTGTGAGCAGGGAGCTGGACCCCATCACACTCGGCTCACCCCCTATCTGTCCCCTGTCGCGCCTCGGACCCCACCCTCGCAGGCCCACATCTGTGTTAGCGCAGGCGTTTCTCCCTGGCTGGAATCACCTGTTTGCTCGCAGCACGTGCTGTGGCCCAGCCCGCTCCCTACTCTGGCCACCCCGGGCAAGAGGCTGGGCTGTATCGGCCACAGGGGACCTGCTGTGCCATGCGGTGGTCCAGTCGCCCAGCCAGCCCATAGGAGCCTCCAGGGAGAAGACTCTTTGTTTCCCTTCAGTGCCAGAACATTCATTCATTCATTCATTCATTCATTCTAGGTGTTTTTCTGTGCCCACAGCCCTGTGCTAAGTGCTTGAATTAGTGTATGTAATTAAAGCCTTGCAGTGACCGGGGGGGTGGGGCGGTGGGAGGTAAATGTTTGGGGATGAAGTTCCCTTTTTGCAGGCAGGGAACCTGGAGGGCTAAATGACCTGCCCAAGGGTCACCCACGTAGGACGCAGCAGAGCCTGCCTGGGGTCCAGAGGGCTGCACCATGCACTTGGAGCGGTCAGGGCTTCCCCCCGAGAGGGAGAGGGGCCAGTTGATAGCCAGGGCACACAGCAGCGAGAGAAGTGATCGGTGGTGGGTGGGAAAGGATCAGCGGCGCCATGGTGGCCTGGAGGAGGAGGGGAAAGTTCCAGACAGGGAGAGGTGGACCTGAAGGAGAGGGGTGTGGAAAGAAAAGCATTCCAGAAATAAAAATAGTCATAGAGGAGGGAAAGGTCAGAACATGTTCAAAGAAAAACGGGACTGAGTTTTGTCCGGTCAGTGTGGAAAGGGCAGTTGGGATCACAAGGGATCCCTGGACGCCAGGTAGGAGGTGCCAGTTTGGTCCGTAGGTAGCGGGCATCTGGGGACTTTGAAGCAGGGCAGTAGCGTGACCGTTTCTGTAGCAGCCGGAGCCCTTGTCCCTGAGTCCTTCAGGGAGGTCGGGGCTAGAGCTGTGAACGCGCTGGCCAGCGAGGCATTCACCAGGTACCCGCGCCGGAACCGACCAGGCGGAGCCCAGGGGTCGGAAGGGGAGTGGAGGCCTCAGGGTTATGGAGGAAGAGATGGCAGGAAAGGAGCCGGGGAGGCACTTCCCGGAGACCCCCCTGCACCGGGCTCCTGGGGGCAGGGGAGAGGGGAAGCCTGGGTCGTGGTCAGAGCTGACCACGCAGGGATGAGGGAGGGGAGTACGGAGCCAGAGGTGGAGAGAGATCTTGGCTCTTGCACCCAAGAGCACGCTTATGCCCTGTAGACGTGCGGGGTCAGGAGGGCAGGGGGGGCTGGAGGGTCGGGGTGGAGCCAGCAGGTGCAGGCCCTCCGGGAATTTGACCCTGATGCTGCAAGGTCATGGGGCGCCTCTACTTGGATATTATTTTCTTTCAGACGAGCCCTGTGAAGTAGGCCTGGCTGTTGCCAACACCCCTTTGTCACAGAGAGAAATGGAAGCTCCAAGGGTTAAACGCCACCTCGGTGTCAGCCGCCGGGCAGCAGCAGGGCAGGACTGGCAGGGGCATCCGTGACCCAGTCCTAGGTGTCGGGCAAGGGAAGGGCCACCCAGGCTGCGTCTGTGCCGGGCCATTCTGTCTCGGGTTTGGAGTCCTCCCCATCTCCCCCCGCCCCCCCAGCCTCGTAACCACCCTTATGTCCGTAAGACTCTGCCGACCACGGTCTTGCCTTGGGAAGGCAGTACGCGGCCCTCAGGCCCCTTGGTTACACACAGCGCGGTCACTTCTGAAGCAGGAAGGGAGTTTAGTGGAAGGAAATGGGGTGGCTCGCAGATTGGACAGAAAAGCTTAAGAACTGATCTGAGAAGCAGCACAGGAAGCTGGGCGACCATCCCCACCGTCGAGGCCGTGCCCTCGGAGCAGTGTGCTGATGTCACTGAGGCTCTGCTGACGTCCTGGCCCGATGCCACCGTCACCATGGGCACGGTGGCTTCCTCACAGCCTTGCTTCCTGGCCACACTCGCGGGCATTCATTCCCAGCCGGAAGCCCTCGCTTGGCTGGGCCCGGCTCACCACTCCCCTGCTGCCGACACAGAACGGAGGAGGGGAGTCCTTGCCTTCCCAGGAAGGAGGATCGGCTTCTGGGTATCCAGAAAAGTGATAAATTCCCAGCACATGTCCCCTTTCCCTGGTCGGTGTGTGGTTTTCACATGATACCCTTTGTCACCAAAGATGCCGTGTCATCTGTCCAGTCTGCAAACCTTGAGTTGGTGGGGATTCAGCCCCAAGCCTGGCTCTCGGCACGGAAATGAACATGGAGTCCACTGCCGGGTGGAAGGGAGCAGTAATCTGAACAGACTATAGTCTGTAGTGCCACAGTGGGGAGAAGGGGGGTCACGTGCCCGTGGTGGTGACATGAGGGTTGAGCTGGTCTCTGGGGAGAGTGTGGGGGCAGCCCGAGGACAGGAAGAACATTCCTGCGGGGGACGAGCAGTGCTCACAGAGCCATCGAGACAGGCGATGTCAGGCCAGGCCAGCTTGGGTTTCCTCCTGCAAGCAGAGGGCGGCCAGGGAGTCTCTTTAAATTGGCAAATGAAAGGGACCCCTTCCGGGAAAGATAGCCATGGTGACGGTCTGGAGAAAAGACTCCAGGCAGAGTCTGGACTCCAGAGACACTTGGTGTAATCAGTAGGACGTGGGAGCCAGCACAGTGCGAGGGATACAGGGTTAATACTCGAGAACATCACCAAGATTTCTAGCTTGGCCACTGGATGACACGGATGAAAATAGTAAGTGCAGAAGAAGGAGCAGGTTTGTGCGGGGAGAGGACAGCAAGCTTACGTTTGAACTTGGTCCATCTAAGGTGCCTGGCGTGGCCCGGTGGAGATGTCTGGCGGCGTCTGGAGAGGCCAGGCAGCGTCTCGGGCCTGGGCAGCTCTCCGGACGAGAGGAGGTGAGGCAGGAAGACTGAGTGCCGGGGGGGGGGGGGGGGGGGGGGGGGGGGGGGGGGGGGGGGGGGGGGGGGGGGGGGGGGGGGGGGGGGGGGGCAGCAGTAGCAGACACGGAAGGCGTGTGTAGGGAAGCAGGATGCGGAAGTCCTTCGCGTAGCCCGCGTTCGTGCACAGCCCCCGCGCGCCAGCGTGCGCCTCTGCTCGTGAGAGAGCTGCGCTGTTTCTTGGGTAGGGGCCTGGGGAGCTCAGAGGATGACGGGACGGGCAGGAACGGGCTCTCCAGGAACGGGGCAGGCTCCAGGCCGGGCAGCGAGGACTGGGGGCTTCAGCACACTTTACAGGTACCGGCCCGGGCGCGGGGCCGTCGGCACAGGCCTCAGAGGCCCTGCGAGGACCTGGCGTGCTCCCCTGCTTCTGGACAAAGCGAGCTTTCTCAGCTGGAGGAGGCAGAGACGCCAGGGAGAAGGAGGGCTGACAGGCAGCTTGCTGACCTGGCTTTTGGGAGGTTGGTGGTCCCAGGGCACAGCAGGCAGTCCACAAATGCTTCAGCTGTTGAGAATGTCCAAGGAAGTTCTCTGAAAGTCTGCTGCGTTCCCAGCAGTGACTTGTAATAAGTCATGCAAGACAACCAGTTTTCAGCGTCCCCATAACCAGAATGGAGCTCATGGGGCACCTGGGTGGCTCAAGCGGTTAAGCAGCCGACTTTGGCTCAGGTCATGATCTCATAGCTTGTGAGTTCGAGCCCTGCATCAGGCTCTGTGCTGACAGCTCAGAGCCCGGAGTCTGCTTCAGATTCTGTGTCTCCCTCTCTCTCTGCCCCTCCCCCGCTCGCACGCATGCACGCGCGCGCTCTCTCTCTCTCTCTCTCTCTCTCTCTCTCTCAAACATAGATGAACATAAAAAATTTTTGAGGGGGTTTGCCTGGGTAGCTCAGTTGGTTTTAAGCTGCCAACTTTGGCTTAGGTCATGAGCTTGCAGTTCATGGGTTCGAGCCCCGCATTGGACTCTGCTGACAGCTCAGAGTCTGGAGCTGCTTCGGATTCTGTGTCTCCCTCTCTCTCTCTGTCCTTCCCCTGCTCACACTGTGTCTTTCTCTCAAAAAATGAACAAATTGTTTAAAAAATTGTTTTTTAATGGTGCTGCCGCTAACTGAGCATAGCGTTAACTCAGCAGTGGAGGCAGCAGCTGTTTGTAGGTGTGGAACGGTTCCTACCCTCGCTGCTTCTCCAGGGTTCCCTAGGTTTACCCAGCACAGCAAGGAAATGTTGCTCATTTTTCTGTACTAAAAAGATGGGGCAGTGTGGGTGGATCGCACCCGAGGGAACAGGACACTGAGAGCGCAGAGTGGAAGTCGCAGGCGGTGCGGGGTCCGAGCCCTGGGCGGCAGAGGCCGGTGCAGCCTTCTGTCCGTGAACCGGCCGGGTGCCTCGAGGGCTCCTGTGTGCTGTGCGCTCGCTGGGGTGCGCGCCTGGCTCGAGCTCCGTCGGGCCTGCAGTCTGCCTGAGGCGTGAACCTCACAGTCCCCCCACAGTGGTCCCCGAGTGTGCTTCTGAGAGCCGGTGGCCGGAGTGGCATCCCGGCAGGGGCAGGCTGTTCGAGATTGGGCTCGGCCGGGAAGTGGGAACATCGAGTATTTACACGGCGATCAGGTGGCCTTCGAAGGTTCGGGAGGACGGAAAGCCTGCATTCATTCTCCTCCCGCTTTTGCTGCAGCGCCGTCCTTGGCGCACACGCCGCTTTCGCTTCCGGGCAGGCGCACCTGCTCTGTCTGCACAGGCGGCTCCCCCTCCTGGAGATGCCCCCTCTTCGCGGCTGCATCTGCTAAACGTCCCTTGTCCGCTCTTGCCCCTCTCCTGGGGGAGACCTGCTGTGTTTGTCTTCATGTCCCCAGTGCCTGGCGGAGGGCCCAGCGCACGGGAGGCGCCCAGGGAGTGTCTGTCGAGTGGCTACGGGGGAGGAGGGGGGGTGGGGGTGGGGGGAGAGATGCAGGAGCAGCCTGTAAGTGCACAGGCGTCCTGTCGGGCCCGTGTGGATGGAGCCCCCGCAGAGCTCAGGGGGAGACAGGCCAGGGTCGTGTGTGGCACAGGGAGGATCCGACTCGAGGGAGTGAGCATCCGGACACAGTACGGTGTTGTGCTGGAGGCAGGTGAGCCGACAGCCATGTGTGGTCGCAGCAGGCGTGGCGCGAGGCAGGCTGTGGCAAGGGGTGTGTCCTGTCCTTGGCCGCCAGCCGCTTACTCTCCCCTGGCGCCGCAGGGTTTCACGCGAGGGAGCCACAGCAGCACAGTGCTGTGCGAGGCGGCACTTTCATCCCCACTCAGGGATGTGCGGGTCTGTTGAGTGTCTGTTACATGCGGGGCTGTGCTGACCCCCCCCCCCCCCCCNCAGGAGCAGCCTGTAAGTGCACAGGCGTCCTGTCGGGCCCGTGTGGATGGAGCCCCCGCAGAGCTCAGGGGGAGACAGGCCAGGGTCGTGTGTGGTCCTGGGAAACAGACACCAAAATGGGATTTGGGGGGTGCATCACCGCCAGCCGGCAGGCCTTGAGCCCCCCCCCCCCCCCCGGGAAGAAGCAGGGAAGGCTGTTCCCACCCTCGTGTCCTCTGGCGCTGGTGAGGAAGGCAGACAGCGAAGTAGGTGGTTACTGGCAATGCCGGGGGTGCGGGGAGGCATTAGGGGAACATTCCCCAGGGTCATGGTACCTGAACCGCATCTTCACAGAGGATCAGGAGTTAACCGGGTAAAGGGGTACGTTCCCAAGTGGAGGTGAGCGGTTTGTACCAAGGCGTAGAAGGCTGTGAGGTGAATGAGCGCCTCACAAATAGGTGGTGATGGCTGGAAAGAGGGGACCCAGCTATCGCAGACTCTGGGTGCCGCACGGCGGCGTTTAAATCGTGTCCTAAAAATGATGATGAGCCACTGGATTGTTGTAATTGGGAGAGTGACCTGTTTTAGGAGGCTCACCTGGCTGCCTACGGAGAACGGGAGGAGGGGACAAGGTTGGGGACTGTGGGACCAGAGTGGAAGGCCGTCCTTACAGCAGACGGACAGACAGCCTGGAAGAGCCGTGGGGTCGGGGACAAAGATAAACTGTCATTTGAAATAGACCCCAGCCTGGTCTGTGCTCCCTGTGCTAGCCTTGAAAAGAGGGACATTCTGCCCTGGGACGTTTTAGAGCCTGTATTGTTAAAAAACAAAAACAAAACTCTGTGTGAGGCAAGGATGGGTGGGAATCAAAACCTTTTCACCATTTTACCCAGTTATATAGAAGTGTAATAGGAACACTTCTGAGTTTGGGCTTCAGGCCCCAGGACTCTGTGATGACGTCATCTGGAGGCTGAGGCTGAGGGCACTTGCTCATGACTAATCAGCTGGGACATTCTGAGAAAGTCCCTCCCCTCCCAACCTCATTGGTCAAAGCCTTCATCACTGGGCATTCTGTTGATTTGGGGGGCTCTTAAATGCTGTTCTAATTCCCACATTTTGTTACTGAAAAATTGTAAATTGGTGATTTTCCTAATCTGTTGTCAAAATCCCTTTGAAGAGGTGATTTATAGTTTAATTGTTTCCACAGATAATCAGTCAGGCAAACATAAAGACAGAAGGAAAAGCTCGCTAGATGTCCGAGCTGTTGCCTCTCGAGCAAGTGAAGGTAGGTGCAAAGATAAGAGGGGACGAGGTGGGATGGGACACCTGACCCTCGGTCCCCAGTCTCCTCTCCGGGTCCCCACCTCCTGCCGGTGGGCTCCGTTCTCAGCCTTTGCTGGGTGCGTCTCACTCTCTATTCTGTAGTTGATTTTCTAAACTGAACAGTGGAGGATGTCCGTTGGCCTCCGTTATTGGCTGGGTGATGCGTAATGCATCTAGAAATTCTTAACATACTCTGTTGTGGGTTGCCATGGAAACTTCCCTTTGGTGGGGAGGTGAGCTGCATTTGGAATGCGAAAGACCTTTATTAAACATATAAAGTTTTAATTGGAATATAATCTTTTAAAGTTACACAGCTATGTGGCCTGAATGATTTAGTAGTTTTAAAAATGCAATGAAAATGGTTACTGTAGTGTGGAGGCAAATGTTACTGCTGGCGGGGTACTTTCCTGGACCTCCAGGTGAACGGGGAAGCGTGTCACCAGATAAAAAGCCACAACTTTCCAGGGCGGTGGCAACTCACATTATACAAGAGATTGAGTGCCCACAGGTTTGTTGCGAGGCTCAGAATACACAAGTGTGTCTGCCCCGCACCGGAAAGACTGCACAGGCCCCACCCTGCTGCACGGGCAAGAAATGGGCTCTGGCCTCGGAATGACCTCGAGTCTAGTCCCAGCTTCGTGTACTGTCTGCGCAACCTCATGGGTAGGCTCGTGTGCCTGCGTTTCCTCACTGTGAGCAGGGGGCAGGTGTGCTGTCCACAGCGGGGTGGGTGAGGGGTAAGTGAGGGGCGTGGTGCCCGGCAGGGGTGGCGGGAGCGGCCCCCACCCGTACAGCGAGGGTCCTCCCTCGGGCAGAGCCAGCAGGGGCGAGGCCACCCACGCCCACAGCCGGCTCTGCCCCTCCGTGCTTGCTTCCGTCCTCCTTGGGCTGACTCGGGCCATCTCTGTCCTTTTAAGAGTTAAAACTTACATTCAGTGGAATTCAGATATTGAATGTTGAGTTCCATGAGTTTCAACAGTTCTGTACACTCGTGTGACCGCCCCCCTCCCCCCAAAGCAGATACAGAAAATGTGCACACACACCTTTTAGCGCACAGAGGCAGCCCTGATCCTAGGACCGTAAGTTAAACTGGCCTCTTGTGCTGCACAGAGATGGGACCGCAGAGCACACACTGCTCGCGTCTGGCTTCTTTCACTTCTTTCAGTGTTGGTGAGATCCATCCGTGTTAGGGGGTCCAGACTTCACTCTCTATATTGTTCGGCAGTCATGCTGTAGGGACATGCCACCCTTATCTGTTCTCTTTTCAGGGCCATCTGTGTTCATCTTTCCACTTTGGGGCGGTTAAGAAGGCGGCTGCAGAGGCGCCTGGGTGGCTCAGTTACTGAGGCTTCCTGCTCTTGATCTCAGGGTTGTGAGTTCAAGCCCCGCATTGAGCCCTGCATTGGGCTCTGCACTGGTCTCTGTGCTGGGCGTGCAGCCTACTTAAAAAAATAATAAGGCGGCTCCGTGTTTTTACCCAAGTCTTCCCGGGGCTGGATGTGTGTGTTCTGTCCTGCATAGAAGCGGAATGCAGGGCCCTCACGCAGCCGCAGTGGCCTCTCTGGTGTGAGTTGTACCGGATCCTCCTCTTTTGTGAAGTGCTCCTCAGATATTTTGCCCATTTTTATCTTGTTTACTTACAGGAATTTTTTATATATTGTATTTTTTAATGTTTACTTATTTATTTTGAGAGAGAGAGAGAGACTATCCCAAGCAGGCTCCACACTCAGCAGCATGGAGCCCAACATGAGGCTCGATCTCACAACCATGAAATCATGACCTGAGCCAAAATTAAGAGTTGGATGCTGGGGTGGGGTCTCAGTCGGTGAAGCGTCCAACCCTTGGTTTCGGCTCAGGTCATGATCTCATGGTTTGTGAGACTGAGGCCTGTGTCAGGCTCTGAGCTGATGGCATGGAGCCTGTTTGGGATTCTCTCTCCCTCCCTTTCCCACTCCTTTCTCTCACTCTCAAAATATACATAAAGATAAAAAGTTGGACACCTAACTGACTGAGCCACCTAGGCACCCTGGAATTCTTTATATTTTAGATATGGGTCCTCTTTTGAATATGTGCATCAGAAATAGATTTTAGTTTGTGGTTTCCCTTTTTACTCTCTTGATGGTCTTTACAGAAGTTCTTAATTTTAATAAACCTCCTTCTATCGGGGTTTTCTATCATAGCTAGTGCTTTTTTGTGTCCTGTTCAGGAAATCTTTCCCTATCCCAAGGTCATGAAGATACTATGTTTTCTTGTAGAAGCTTTATTGTTTTATCTTTCACCTTAGGTCTGTGATCCATTTCAAATGAATCTAAGAGGGGAGGGGAGGGCTCCAGGTTGATGTTTCTTCATTCATGGAGATCCAGCTGGCCCCTCATCATATTGGGAAAAAAAACATCTTTTGCAGCAGGGCCATTATTGTAAATTAGGGGACTATAAATATACAATCATTTTCTGGACTCTTCTGTTTCGTTGTTCTCTTAGGCTATGCTTGCACCATTACCACCATTGATTGCTACAGCCTCTACAAGTCTCAATATCTGGTAGTACCAAGTTGTTCTTCACAGTTGTCTGGGCTGCTCCAGGTCCTTTGTGTTTCCATAGAAGATTTAGAATCATCTTGTTAACTTTATACACACACAGCCTCCTGGGGTTTTGTCTAGGAATGTCTTGAATCTACAGCTCAGTTTAGGGAAAATGGAAGGCTCAGTGATATGGAATTTTTCAAACCCTGAATATACTCTGTCTCTGGGTAGTTTTTATCTCCTCTCAGTGTTCTGCATTTTCAGTGTATAAATCCTACACATCTTTCCTTACATATATTCCTAAATATAAGGGACTTTTGTGTACTGATTTTGTACCCAGTAGCCTTGATGAACTTACTCACTGGCTGTAAAAAGTGTTTGTAGATTCCTTTGGATTTTGTGCACATATAGGACAGTCTGTATGACCTTTATTTCTTCTTTATGCTTTTTTTTTTTTCATTTTTATTAGTAGATGCCCCTTTCCTTGGATTTTTTTGTTTGTTTGTTTCTTTTTGAGAGAGCAAGAGACAGAACGTAAGCAGCGGGGACAGGGAGACACAGGATCCGAAGCAGGCTCCAGGCTCTGAGCTGTCAGCACAGAGCCCGATGGGGGGCTCAAATCCACAAACCACGAGATCATGATCTGAGCTGAAGTCGGATACTTAACTGACTGAGCCGGCCAGGCGCCCCCCCCCACCCCATTTCATTACATTTTTAAATGAGAACAGGTCCTTTTGTGATATGATAAAATACTGGTTATTATTTTTGGTTTCATGACCTTATTGGGTAGAATGGAAAGCTGGCAACCATATGCTGGTCACCAGAGTTAAATTTAGGGAGTGTTGTGGGTCCCCCAAACTTCAAGCATTTAAGAGCCCCTGAGTTGGTTAATCTTACACAGGGTTTCTCCTTCGACCTCAGTTTGGTAAAACAGGGCTGACGTATCAGGCTTTGGAACAGTCTGTGGTCCCTGAAGGTCTCTGGTAAACAGCATTTGGCCTGACAGTGGGGCTTTCAAGGGAGACACACAGAACTCTATGTGTCCACTTTTTTCCGGTCTGTATGCTGCCCAGCCTTCCCTTTATCCCTGAGGAACCGTATCTTGACAGTAGAAACAGAAAATCCACAGACGGGGGCCGAGAGTTGCTGCCTCATTTACGGTATTTACCTAATTGGTCTAGATTAAGGATCACAGTGGAAAACCCAAAAAGGTGCCTTGAGAAATTTAACCCCAAATTCCTATATTTCGGTTAATGGCGAATTGTATTAATCACTCCTGCCATACATGAGACAAAGAGCCTGTGTGGCATTGTCTTCCAGAACATTTTTCTCCTGGATCGTGGCGAGCTGAATATTAAAAGCTTTATTGTTATAAACACAAAAAGAGGCTAAGTGTTTGGCCTTGACTTGCTAGATTGTTTCCTCTGTTTTTCCTCCGGCCTGTGACATCAGAGATTCGGGCTGGGGGGACACGTGCATCCTAGTGCCTAGGACTGAAGGGAGCGGGGCTGGTTCCGGCAGAACCCAGGCTCACTGGGACGGGGCGGAAGCCGGGTGGAGTGGCCACGTAGTTCTCATCCGATCCCTTCGTTACGCAGCTGAGCACATGGGGGCCCGGGGCGGTCAGGAGGCACCTGGGGCTGCACCTCCCCTGAGCTCTGCATCTCGTGGTCTCTCCACAGGCAGCAGCCAGAGACGGCACTCCTCCATGGCCCGGATACATTCCATGACGATCGAGGCACCCATCACCAAGGTGAAGCAGCGTGCGCGGTCTCCCCCGCATGCACTGCAGTCCTTCGTTCTCCGGGTGGATGGTTTCTAGAGAGCGGAAGCAGACCCGCACCGATAATCACGTGCTCGTAGGTGCACGGAGCTGCCTCCTCTGAAGAGAGGCTGTGACCTGAACGTCTGAGTTGGTCTTGAGTTTGCACTGAGCGCCCCTGCCAGCCGCCCCTCTGCACTGCCTCCCAGCGTTCGTGAGGTGGTAAAACTCACGTCTTCCTCCCACCTGCAGGTAATCAACATTATCAACGCCGCCCAGGAAAGCAGCCCCATGCCTGTGACAGAAGCCTTAGACCGTGTGCTGGAAATTCTGAGAACCACTGAATTATATTCGCCGCAGTTCGGTGCTAAGGACGATGATCCCCATGCCAATGACCTTGTTGGGGGCTTAATGTCTGTAAGTGTGTCTGACTTACAGCCAGCTGCTGGCTAGAGCCTGCTTCCCTGTTTGTTTTCCCAGTGGTTATGTGTTTAGGGTCTAGGCCGCACGGAGCTCGGTGTACATAGGACTGGCGTAGCCCGAACCCACCATCACCCGGGCTCGACTGTGCTCTGGCCAGAGCCATCACCCACCCGCTGCCTCCACCAAAGGAGACCTCGTCTTAAAGCAGAGGAGGGAGAGGCATGTTCTAGAGTCTGCTGGGCTGGGGTCTCTTCCATTCTGGCTTGGGGGTTCTATGAGGAATTTATTTCAATGAAACTTAATTGTACATATTTTGAAAACTAGGGTAGAAAAATTGTATCTGTCATCATCCCAATGACAGGACAGAAAGACTATATATGTTTATAGCGGCACCAGGGCCTGGGGCTCAGTTTCCTTCCCAACCATCCTCTGCAGATTTGGTGGCCCCATCCCATGGGCGCTTGGCGGTCCGGGACGCCTCCGCGAGCCCATCTAGCAGAGAGGTCTTGCAAGGGAAGAACTTTGTGGAAAACACCATTCCATCTCTGCCTGTCACCTTTTGTCTTGGTCGGAAGTAAAATTCACCACCTCACCACCACCACCAGAAACCCCCCTCCCTGTGCCTGCTTTCTGAAGTTCACCTGATTTCTTAAAAACAAGGTTTTAGGCAGTAATCTGAAGGGTGGAGTTGTGCCCAGTGACAATAATGTCTAACCGTGGTCTTGCCTGTTTGAGGCACAGGCTCCTGCAGCCATAGGCCAGGGCTGGAAACCACGGCGGGGGGGGGGGGGGGACGGTGTGCCAGGGTGAGGGGAGAGGCAAGGGAAGGTGGGAGGGGTCTCACCCCGAACAGCCGGGTGGAGTGAGGGGGCATAGAGAGCCCAGAAGAGTCCAGTGCTCTCATGGAATCCCAGTGTCCGCTGCAGTGAGGCGGGTGGCAGGGAAATGGTGGGGAAGGTTTGAGAGCAGAGGTCATTGTCCCTAAGAAACTGAACCAGTGCTGAGGGCCCACAGGAATGCTGGGCTTTGGGGGCCTTCACCTTCCTGGTGCTGCCCCTGAGTTCAGCCAGTGTCAGGCCTCATGCTCTGTTTGGTGACTGTGTTCAGTGGTCGACTCCAGGTGCTCCAGGAGCCTTGGGGGACGTTGCTGGAAAGGCTGTCCTCTGGGACCAACTGTCCCTCTCAGCGTTTTCAAGAAGTAAAGAATAGTTGGGACGCCCAGGTGGCTCAGTTAAGCTGAAGTCCCAACTTCAGCTCAGGTCATGATCTTGTGGTTCACAAGTTTGAGCCCCACATGGGGCTCTGTGCTGACAGCTCAGAGCCTGCTTGGGATTCTGTGTCTCCATCTCGCTCTGCTCCTCCCCTGCTCGTACTCTGTCTCTCTCAAAAAATAAGTAAAAAAGGTTTTTTAAAAATTAAAGAAGTATAGTTGTGACTTCTCTTTTTCTTATTTCCTTGATATTTATCAGGATGGTTTGCGAAGACTATCCGGGAATGAATACGTTCTTTCAACAAAAAGTAAGTGTTACCTTTTTAATCTTTTGGATCACTGTTAATGTTATGGTGGCACTTAAATGAGGAAAATTTAAGTCTCTTTTGCGAGAGCACGTGCAAGCAAGGGGAGGGGCAGAGAGAGAGAATCCCAAGCAGGCTCCGTGCTGGCAGCGCAGAGCCCAGCACAGGGCTCGGTCTCACGAACCATGAGATCACGACCTGAGCCAAAACCAAGAGTTGCAGGTTTAATCGACTGAGCCACCAGGCGCCGCTCAGTCGACTTTCCTCAGTAGTAAGCGGTTTCGTGGCCGGTCATGAAACCTCCGACGCACAGCAGCTGCCCCGTAGCAGTACTGTCCTCCCTGAGGAGCGGTGACCGCTGCAACGCCTGTTGCTCTTGTTCTCCAAATCCCGTCACCTTGCAGGCCTGCAGCAGCCGCCCAGCAGCATCGTCACCCCCACCTCCCTCCACGACGTCCCTCTCCGGATCGCTCGGGCCATGGAAAACGAGGAGTACTGGGACTTCGATATTTTTGAACTGGAGGCCGCCACACATAAAAGGTGCGTCCGCGTGGCGCCCGGCAGGGAGCCGGCTCGGCCCCGAGGGCAGCTGCACACAGAGCCTTTCGAGGAGCACGGGGGCCGCCCTGGGCAGGAACGGGGGCCGCAGAGGGGTCAGGAGGGCTGACGGGTCACGGCTCCCGCGGAGACCGCCCACTCGTGGCCCGTGAGAAGTTGAGCAGGTGACGTGACGTCTCCGAGTGGCAGGGGTTTTCCTGGAGAACACGGACATGAGGAGGTGGTGCACTGAGAGCGGCGAGGGCCCCACTCAGCCCCTGGCACTAAGAATTGGAAACACACGTTTGCCAAGAGCTGTCTCCACATCGAGCTCTGGTCATCCTGAACGCGGGGTGGGGGCAGCACTGGGACTGTACCTTGATGGAGGAGCAGAGCTCCCCCCCGAGCCAGGGCCGTGCTGTCGGGTGGTGAGGCCCAAGGGACCTGCTGAGGGCCCCGGGAAGGCCAGCTCCTCCGACGTCCTGCCAGTCGGGTCAACTGTCCCCACATGGCCTCTGCCCTTCGATCATGCCCACCAGGTGTCAGCCTTCTGGTATATTCTGTCCCGTGTCCCCAACGTGGGCTGGGCTATAGAAAGAATCCGCTCTAGCAAACGAACGTAGGGGCACCTGGCTCACGTGCTAGTGACGCCGCATTCGTGTGACTCGGGCCAAGGCAGGTCAGTTCACGCCCTGGGAGCCTGCGGACCTCTGGGTGCCGCCTCAGCAGAGCCGTTTCTTGGTCCTCCACGCCAAAGGCCAGATGCTGGATCGAGGTAACTGGTCAAAGAAGGGCCTGGCTTGGTGGCCTTGATCACCGTCTGGGGAAACCGCCCCCTGCTGTGGCACCCAGCTCCAGATTGTTGAGGCCATTATGTGACGATTGAGGGTATCTGACTCATGGGCAGCCTTCTGGAAGTGTTCTTTGCTTCTAGACAGGACACCTGGTCCAGCAAGTCCATAGGCAAGAATAGGGTTCAAGGCCAGCATCACGTGGATTTTGAGGAATCTCAAAATCTCAAAATCTTCCTCTCCTGAAGGAGGAAGGGCAGGGCCGGCACCTGGGCCCCGGCCAGTGGGGAGCCCTGGCTTAGGCTGGTGTTGGCTGCAGCCTCCCTGCCCCACACGCTCGCTGAAGCCGGGCTCGGGTTTGCTGGTCGGGTCTGAACCTCTTCGGGGCTCCACGCACTTTGCCTGTTTGTTTGTTTTAATGCTGTGGACATTTTTCTCTGTAGGCCTTTGATTTATCTCGGTCTCAAAATGTTTGCGCGCTTTGGGGTCTGTGAATTCTTGAACTGCTCTGAGGCGACGCTGAGGTCATGGCTGCAAAGTATCGAAGCCAATTACCATTCGTGTAACCCCTACCACAACTCCACGCACGCTGCCGACGTGCTTCACGCCACTGCCTATTTCCTTTGCAAAGAGAGGATAAAGGTGAGCTGGGTGTGTGCCCCGCGGGCAGGGCAGCGGGACAGTGCGCTTTCCCGGACAAGCTGCTGTGCGCAGTCACGGCCGGAGCAGAGCGGGTCCGTGCCTGCGTGCCCCCCGCCGGGCACTCTGCAGGCCATGCGTTCGTTCAGGCCAGGCCCCCGCCAGTCCGCCGGACTCTCAGGAGCAGGGTTTGGTCGCTGTAGAGAGAGCCAGCAAGAACAGCTAGGGCTGGCTCCCCGGGTCTCTCTCTGAACCTGCAGACAAGGTACAGCCCCCCACCCGCCCCGTCCTGCAGTGTCAGCGGGGTTTGAGGCCAAGTTCATCCTTACCCAGCACTGCTCGCACCGGGGGTTGCGAGCCTGGTCCAGAGCTCCATTTTTCCATTGTCCTCTCCCCCAAGCCACTGGCCCCCAGGAGATCACATGACCTTGCCTCTCTCAACCCAGCGCCCTTACGATTCTCTCTGCCTCGTAATGCCCCGCTGCCCTCCTAGTGGGGCCCCCTCCTTTCTCGTCTCCACGGCGCCAGGTGAGAACTCCTGAGCTCCTGCGGCCCCTCCCTGCTGCTGGCGCCAGCTTTTTCTGAAACAGCCCCTCTGACCATGTTGTTCCCAGGAGCTACCCCCCACCCCCTCCACGTGGAGATTTAAGTGTTAAAACTCCATGGTATGATGTTCACAGCTTCCTGACATAAGGGCCACACGTGGGACGTGCTATTCCCTTTCCTGGTCCCCATGTGTCCCCACCTGTCCTTCAGGGATCCACACCAAGCCTTGCTTGGACTGCCCTCCATCCCCGGAACTGACTTAGATGCCCTTTGCCACGTGCCCGCATTCCTGATCTCACCTGCTTACCCGTCCATCCACCCTGCGGCCAGCAGGTTCCTTTTGCATCCCCAGTGCCCGTCCTGCTCGGCCGAGTCCCCACAGTGGCCACTGGCACCTACTGGTGGCCAGTCACGGCTGGCTCAGTCTGCCGGGCCCCCGGCAGCTTTATTTAGCTCTAGCTTTGAGGCAGCAGGAGAGGGGGGTGAGAAGAGGCTGTAGTGCAGAGAGCACAGGGGAGAGGTTCCACTCGAGGAAGGTGACTCACCGGCCACTCCCAAACCGAGCTTCCTATGAAAGCTTTTCACATTGGAAATTACTTCATTAGGGAAATTGTCCAAGCAACGACTAGACTTGTGCTGATTCACCAGATTTTGGGCTCTTTCCTTCAACGTCCATCATAGCATGGCCCAGAGGGTCCAGGGAGTTCCCGTGGCCCAGCCATTTATTTCACTTTTAGAAGAACCTAGATTAAAAAAAAAAATCTGTGGTTTGCTCCTTCTGCTCTAAGAATTGGGCTACAGGAGGGGTGAGACAAGTTTAGCATCATGACGGGGGACTCGTGTGTGGGAGAGCACAGGGTGATCATGACCAAGACTGTAGGCAGAATAAGAGTTCAGAGAGAGGACGGTCTTCTATAAAAGTATGAGACCAGGGCAGGGGGCAGGGGGTCTCTGTCGGCATGGGTCAGAATATACAAATAGCCTAACTTTTGCCACTATTTATTGCTTTCGAACTACTTGATAGACAACATGCAAATGTACATTTAGAAAGCTAACTTAATTTTAAACAGCACTTACTGAGATATAATTCATATACAGTTCACCTATTTAAAGTTAAAACTACTAAATTTCAAGTTAAATAAATTTTCAAGACTGGTTAGATGTGCACCTTCATGTGTCTGTAGAATATTTCCGAAAATCTGCCAGGACTCAGTGGATGTCTTAATAAACTTCAGAATTTCATATATTTCCTAACCTTCACACAACAAAATAACTAAAGGTTAAATTTTAAAAATGTCAGCCACTACAAACGAGAAAAATGCTTTAAGTAGATTAAGGCCTACAGAACGAGAAGGGCAGAGTGATTATCCAAAATGGTTTTTTTGAAACAGCCAAGAAAATTAAATATGCTAACCAAACGAATCAAGAAATGCAGAAAGTGCCAGATATTTCTATGCTAACTTAAAAGCCTTAAAGGTGAAAGATGTTAAGTCCGGTCCTAGAAGCGGGAAGCCAGGAGGTCAGTACCAGGGACGTAGAGAGCTAAACTTACCAATTGAATTCTTCCATATCAGGCTCCAGACTCAAGACAGTCAGGTGAGGTCTTTGGCCCTTTAAGGGCTTTTTCCATGTTACATCAACCTGTTCAAAGATTTGAAAATGAGGGAAAACCGCCAGATTATTTTACCAAACTCACAAAATCCTGACAAAGATCGCACCAAAAGGGGAGAAACCCTGGACCAGCCCGCTAATGTGAGTGACGCACATCACCAGCTGTTCCCTCTCAGGTGGGAATACTGGTTTCTACTGGCCCCAGTCAGCATCTCAGACGTTTTTTGTGATGGGTCGAGAGACAGACTGTCTGGCTGAGGAGGTGACTTCTGTGTCGAGGACGCCTCGTAAGTCCTGAGCTCGTGTGAGACAGAGAATCCGATCCTGTGCCCTGACTAACAAGTACGGACATGAAGCTGTTTCTGAGTGGAGACAGGATAACGGATGCGCCCAACAGTAGGCTGTCCTTGGACATCTGGAATCTTTTTACCTGAAAGTCACGGGGCAGAAAGATGACTCTACAGGCTTCCCCACTTTCCACGCTCTGCCCCGTTGTTAAAAGCTCTCTTGTTTGCAGCAAACATTAGATCCAGTTGACGAGGTCGCTGCCCTCATTGCAGCCACCGTCCACGACGTGGACCACCCCGGCAGGACCAACTCCTTCCTGTGCAACGCCGGCAGCGAGCTGGCCATCCTGTACAACGACACGGCCGTGCTGGAGAGCCACCACGCGGCCCTGGCCTTCCAGCTGACCGCCCGCGATGACAAATGCAATATCTTCAAAAACATGGAGAGGTGAGGGCCCGGGTTCGGGGAGCACGGTGGCCCCTCAGTTCACGTGCTATAGGGTTCATCCGTCTGCAGTGTACGGTAGTGGTCTGTGTATTCAGAGTCACATGGCCATCGCCCCCCAGAAAGAAGCTCAAACTAACTGGCAGTCACTTCCCACGCCCCCCTCAAGCCCCCCACCCCAGGCAACCCCACTGCTGCACCTTCTGCCGCCTCCGATCTGCCAGTTCTGCACAGCCCGTAACAAATGCAAGCTCACCCAGGGTGTGGTCTTCTGTGGCTTCTCTCTCTCAGCACGAGGCTTTCAGGGCTCAGCAGCTTTGGGTCTTGACGTCATGAGCTTTTAGAGGCTCGGAGAAGCTGTCCTCTTCCGTCTCTAATGACTAGTCAGTGCCAAGTTCCTTCACAGCACTTGTCATGGGTTTAAACAGTCATTTGTCATTTACTTTTCTAATGTCTCATTTCCTTCTTAGGCCACTTAAGATCACCGTGTCCAGTGCCTTTTGTCTGTCACTGGACCCTCATACAGGAGACAGACCTGCACTTATTAACTTGGATTTGTAGGGAACTTTTTATGCAAAAATTTTTTTAAAAAGGAGATTCCTGATTTTACACACCTCCCTTTTGCCATATTCTAGAATTTCAGTAGGCTTCGTTTATCATTGCTGGTATATGCATCAGTTGTCCAGGGAAGGGAATGGGGTGACTGCAGGAAAGAGGGGAACCAGAGATTAAACTTTATGAAATGACTAAATAAAAACAAGGCTGGTGGAAGAGTGCAGTGCTCCCTGTCAGAAGGTCTTCCCTCTATGCATCTGGGCCCTGACGCTATTGAATCTCAGGGTTCATCTGGGGGGAGGGGGGCATGTGCATCACCACAGGTCTCTGCTGTCGTTTGCCCCACCACGTCCCCCTCCTTCCAGAATCGTGTGCCTTACATGACAGGATGGGGAGCCCCGTGCCTGCAAAGTCTTGCCCATCAGCTTCTTGACTTTCACGTCAGTTTCCCCTCGCTAATGATCTGGTTTCAGTGTGTCCCCTGTGACTTCCAGGGATGGGAGAATTTTAGCTCAGTGGACACTGTCCCAGATCACAGATTTTTCAGGAGGTCCTGCCTGGTCCGGATGAGTAATGTGTAGCGCCCTCTCCTTTGCTGTCCGAGACAGGAATGACTATCGGACGCTGCGCCAGGGTATTATCGACATGGTCTTAGCCACGGAAATGACAAAGCACTTCGAGCATGTCAACAAATTTGTCAACAGCATCAACAAGCCCCTGGCGGCGCTAGAAGAAAACAGGGTAAGGGAGACTGACGGCAGGGAGAACCTGGGGGAGGGGCCCTTACCCTTCTGTGCTGTGGGGGGGCCGGGCTAAGAGGGGGTGAGCTGTGCAGGGGCTCCCCCAGCAGGTGCACTAGATTTAATTTCCACTGGTTGAAAAATTATTTCAAGGGTAAGAAATTGGCAAGAAAAAAATTACACCCCAAAAGGAGATGTAGAAACCCTGAAGCTAACTTGAGGTGGGTGGACCATTCTTGTGGCCTTTCCCACACGCGTCCCCTCCCCACTCCTTGGCCATTCTGGGGTCCACTGGGACCCTTCAGGTGTCTCATTCCCCGCCCCTGCCGTGCACGTGCTGTCTCAGCAGCCACTCTCCTCTGTAGGTCCCTGTCACGGGGGTGGAGGTTGAGGAGGCCGCCGCTAAGCCTCTGGCCAGGCAGGGGACCAGCGCTACGAGAGCAGACAGATCTGGGTCCCCATGCGAGTTCTTTGCCATTTCCTGGTCTGTAGAATGGGCATGATAAATCTCAAGACACAGGCCTGAGGGCCATGGGACAAGGTAGGCACTTAATGAATGGGACTGTCCTAGCAGATTCAGCCTGAGGTCAGCACCTGCCGCATCTGTTTTCATGGACCCTCTTCCTTCAGAGTCCTTCCACCTGCTCCACAGACACCAGACATCCTCCACTGCCCTCCTCACCGCTCCTGTCACTGTCCTGAGAGCCGTCACCATGCTCAGGAAGGCGTCAGGAGGCCAGGATCCCAGTTCCTGGAATTCTAACCCCACTTTACCTCTGCAACTCCTTTGACCGTGGCTTCCGTCCCTGGCTTTTAGCTCATTCACCCTTGTTCCTGTGCGACCCTTTGAAACCTATTGAGAACCCTGCTCGCTTCATCCTTCCCTCTTCTCCCCATGTGTCAGCCTGCTTTGACGTCACTTCCCTTCCCAGAGGCACCCACACCAACCTTTGTTCGTGGCCCCGCCAGTTCTGGATAGCGAGTCGCCTGGGCCACTGCGCCAGCTGACTTCGGCCATAGACTTGTTCCTTCCAGAGTCTGCGCGGTTCCGAGACTGAGCCGAGTGTTCTGTTCCACCTGAAAGTCACGTGTCTCATCTGTTAGTACATGGGGTTACTTCCGAGAGACTGGAAATCCGTCTCGTGGGCCAGAGCAGGGAGAGTCCTTTGGGGGTCGCCCAGCCGCAGAGAGGAGTCAGCACGAAGCTGGCTGCTGGGGGGACCTTGGAGCCAGGAGGCCTGTCGAGGCAGCCTCGGGAGGGTTGGCTCTGGCAGCTCTCCAGGGGAGGAGGCCCTGGGTGGGCACGTGCCCATCTTGAGGACATGTCTGCCCTCTGGGACCCTCTGGGGCCCTCAGGCTCGTGTGGACTCCTGTGATTACCTGCGGGAATCCCGTGAGTGGCGCCTCTGGAAAGCATGAAGGGACGGGCATGTCTCTGTGCTTGCGGCCCCGGTCCTCCCTCTTCCAGCCCGGGCCCAGGATGCCACAGGCGCAGAATCCACACCAGAGGGGCTCCCGTGCACCAGACGGCATGTAGTGCTACGGACAGACAGAGCCCAGGACTACAGGTCCACCTTCAGGTGTCATCCTGGCTCAGCTGGGCAGCTGTGGACAAGTCTCTTCACCTCTGAGACCCAGTGCCCTCACCTGTAGAGTATGACAGTAAATACTACTGCTTTTCGTGCCTACCGCAAGTCTTTGCACTAGTGCACATCAAAAGAGAATAACTTTTACAGAAATGTCACTATATCTGACACATCTTGGTACCCTAACAGCTGGTTCTCAAGATTATACCTCCCGTGGTATATCTATGAAGCAGGGAGCCTGGTAGGAGCAGAGAAACCTTTATGTTTAGCGTTCACATAGTCTTGTTTTAGTAGGAATGATAAGACACCCCTCATGTCCCAAGGGGGAGCAGTAGAGCTAGAACAAAGAAAAAGCAACTGTGAGAAATCTCTAGCCTGGGAAGAAGAGAAGAACATGCCCCTGCCCGCCTTGGCTCTAAGACTAACTAACTCCCAGCGCCACCCTCTACTCTTGGGTCCTGCCCTGGTCTCACTGGGCCTTGGTTTCCCTTATGGCAGGTGAGGGGCTGAGGTCCATGCTCAGAGCATCCGCCGCGCTGTCCTGTGAAACCGTCACAGATAGATCCCGGCAGCGCCTTCCTGTGCATACAGTGGGGGCCCCGGCTGCTTGGTACCAGGGAGCCCACTTGGATTGCTTTGAATGTCACTCGTGTTTTAGGAAATGAATAAAGATGAAGAAGCCATAAACACCACCCTCCGGACTCCAGAGAACCGGACTCTGATGAAACGGATGCTGATCAAGTGTGCAGACGTGTCCAACCCCTGCCGGCCGCTGGAGCAGTGCATTGAGTGGGCCGCGCGCATATCAGAAGAGTATTTTTCTCAGGTGAGAAGCAGCCTCTTAAGTCCCTTGAGAGAAAGAAACACAGTAAGACCATTAGGGATCAGGGGATTGAAACTCGGAGGTCAAGTTCTAAGTGAAAGTCTCTCCTTGAAGAACATTCCTTGTATGACAGAGTTACTGCTAAGGGATTTGATTAGTTTTCCCTCATCTTGAAAATGTATTTGCTGCCCTTCTTGCAGAATATCTTCACTGGATGTAGAATCCTGGGTTAACCGTTTTCTCCTAACAGCATTTTACACCGTGGTCTGCCCCTCATGTTCTCTCTGGGCAGACAAAGTTCTCGTGGGGCAGGGGAAGGAGAAATTAGAAAAGACAGTGGCTAAAGGTTTGGCAGATTTACTGAAAGCATGCAGCACGGCCATAGTCCAGCAGCTGCAAGCCTTTGAAGTCGACCAGAGAAAGATGGCACATTACGTGCAGAGAGCCTGATTCTCATTCCTTCTGACGACACGTTGGAAGCTGTGAAGGTGAGAGGCAAGGGACCTCCGGGTACGATGGGAGAGCAGGGGACCCCGGCTCACCTCGTCCCCTGGGCACACCCACAGCGGTGTGTGAAGTCCCCAGAACATGACCGGACGCTGGCAGACGAGACTCTGCGCAGCTGAATGTAGAGAAGGGGCCACATCCAGGAGGACAGGAAGGGCAGGGACACTGTGAGGAGCCAAACCGACCTGCCTGAGGGAGGGACGCTGCAGGCCCGGGGGGGCGGGGGGGAGAGGAGCAAACCCCACGCCGAGAAGACAAACCCCCATAACACTTGCATTTGAAACCAGAGAGGCCTGACTTCCCCATTCTTACAGTCAGGGGCTCTGAGAGAGGCAGGCCACCATCGACACTGAGCCCTTGACTTTAAAGAAACGGTAGAACAAACAGCCCCACTGACATATACAGCACTTTGAAAAATGCCTGGGGTTTGTTTATTAGTCTCAGAACCTGTGCCGGAAGGGCAGGGGTCTTCGGGAAGCTTCTCCAAAAACCAAAGAGCTGTTGGGCGCCATTTCCCTCCCCTGCCCGTCTGCCTAGAGGCACTGGACGCCCATGAGAACCGGCGAACTCTCCTCCCCGCTCCCCTCACGTTGTGTAGACACGCCCCCTCCAGCACATGCCCGCGAACCCCGTGCACCTCGTTTCCACACTCCATGATGGACCGGCCCCTCCTGCAGTCGCCCAGGCACAAACCTTGCTAACGCCGGGCACCCTGCACCTGTGTTCTGCACACCCCCCAACACGCCTTCCGCAGGAGCCCGTCCACAGCGGCACCACAGGCCTGGCAGTGTGCAAGCAGCCCAGACTCCTGCCCCAGGGGGAGGGAAAGAAAACCACACATGCCAGTTCGACTGTGGCCCCAGCAGCGGTCTGGTCTGACCCCACTCCAGTCCAAGGCGGCCACAGCCAGGCCCACCACCACCATGGGGACCAAACCCTGTCCCCGACAGGCAGAGAGCACCATTGCAGATGCCTGGCCTGACAGCAGTGCAGCACCGCAGTACCCACGGGAAGCTCCCCTGAGGCGCCAGGTCCCGGGGACACTGCACCGCAGCGCCGCGTCTTCATGAGGCCACTGCTTGCGAGAGGAGATGTCGCCAACTCTCCAAACTCAGAGAGCTAGACGAAACAAGACAGGTGCCTATCCCAAATGAAAGAACAGGACAAAATCACAGCAAGAGAGGTCATACGGATAATGTGCCTGATAGAGAATGTAAAGTAGCGGTAATAAAGACACTCCCTGGACTTCGGAGCGGAGGACCTCAGCGAGACCCTCCACAAAGAGTCACTGAAATTACAGATACCCCAGATGGAGGACCTAGAGGCGGCGGAAGAACAGACCAGCAAGCTGGGGGGCAGAGGAATGGGAAGCAAGCAGGCTGAGCAGGAGAGTAAAAGACTAGTAAAAATGAGAATAGATTAAGCGAACCCCCAAAGGGGAAGAGAGAAAGGGGAGCAGAACATTTATTTGAAGAAACAGCAGACTTCTCAAATCTGGGGAAGGAAACAAAAATCCAGATCCAGGAGGCAGAGAGAGCCCACATCAAAATCAACCCAAAGAGGCCCACACCAAGCCATGTAGTAATTAAAATGTCAGAAGTGGTGATAAGACCGTTTTTAAAGCAGCACAAGAAAACAGTTCCGTACGAGGCAAAACCCATGAAGGCTGCCAGCTAATTTTTCAGCAGAAATGTTGCGAACCAGAAGAGAGTGGCATGATACAGTCACAGTGGTGAAAGGGAAAAAAACCCTGCACCCTCAAATACTCTATCCAGCAAGTCAATCATTCAGGAGAGAAGGAGAGAGAAAGACTTTCCCAGACACACAAAGGAATTCATCGTCACTAAAGCGGCCCGACAGGAAATGTTAAAGGGGACTCTCTGAGTGGAAAGGAAGGACCACAAAGCAGGAGTAAGAAACATAGGCACAAAAACAGTACGTTAAGTATATCTATACACATCGGTCAGTGGATTCACAAAATAAAAGGATGTAAAGTAGGACACTCTATACCTAAGATGTGGGGAAGAGAGGAATAAAAACTTAGTGCTTTTAGAATGGGTTCAAACTGAAACAACCATCAACTTAATATAGACTTCTGTATGCATAAGGTGTTCTGTGTAACCTAATGGTAACCACAAGTCAAAAACTGATAATAGATATGCAAAAAATAAACAGAAAGGAATCCAAGTATATCACTAAAACCAGCAAACCATGCGAGGAGAGAGCAAGCAAAGAAAGGAATGGAGAAAACCACAAAAACCACCATAAAACAAGTAACAAAATGGCAATAAGTACACACCTACCAATAATTACTTTGAACATAAAGGGACTAAATACTCCAAACAAAAGACATGGGATGAAAAATCAAGACCCATCTGTATGCTGTCTACAAGAGACTCTCTTCAGACCTAAAGACACATACAGATTCAAAGTGAAGGGATAGAAAAGCACTTATCATGCAAACAGAAGTGAAAAGAAAACCAGGGTAGCAGTACTTACATCAGACAAAATAAGCTTTAAAAATAAAGATTATAGGGGCGCCTGGGGGGCTCAGATCATGATCTTGAAGTTTGTGGGTTCAAGCCCCACATCAGGCTCTGCACTGATAACACAGAGCTTGCTTCAGATCCTCTTATCTCCCTCTCTTCCCCGCCCTCCCTCTCTCTCAAAAATAAACATTAAAAAAATAAAAGATTACAACAAGAAACATAGAATTACACTACATAGTTCTGAGAAGAATCCAACAAGAAAATAAAACAATTGTAAATATGCATCCAACATGGGAGCACGTAAAGCAGCTAATAACAAACATAAAGGAAGAAATCCATAGTAATACAGGAATAGTAGGGGCTTTACCTGGATCTTACGGCAATAGGTAGACAGCAAGGAAGCCATAGCTGACTGTCCTAACACATACTCAGAACATTCCGTCCTAAAACAGAATGCACATTCTTTTCAAGTGCATATGAAGATTCTCCGGAATAGATCACATATTGGGCTACAAAACTAGTCTCAGTAAATTCAAAAGGATCAAAGTCATTCTGACCACAGTGCTGTGACCCTAGCAATCAGCCACAGGAGGAAACCTGGAATGAGCACGTATACATGGCAGTTAAATAGACTCCTAAACAGCAAGTGGGTCAGCCAGAAACATCAAAGAGGAAATCAAAACATATATGGAGACAAGTGAGAAACACAGTGGTCCAAAGTCTTTGAGGTGCAGCAAAAGCTGTTTAAAGGGGGAGGTTCATAGCAATGCAGGCCTTCCCCAAGAAACAAGAAAAATTTCAAACAACCTGACCTTACACATAAAGGTGCTAGAGAAATAACAGCAAAGCCCCAAAACAGTAGAAGGAAGGAAATAAACATTGGAGCAGAAATAAATGAAATAGAAACAAAAACCCCTGGAACAAACAGATCAATGAAACCAGGAGTTGCTGCTTTGATAAGATCAACAATATTGATATACCTTTAGCCAAACTCCTCAAAAAAAAAATTCAAAATCAGAAATGAAAGAGGAGAAATAAGAACCAACAACAGAGAAATACAAAGCATTGTAAAAGAATATTATGGAAAATTACATGCCAACAAATTGGACAACTTAGAAGAAATGGATAAATTCCTATAGGTTACCAAAACGGAACCAGGAATAAATAGAAAATTTGGACAGACTGATTACTAGCAATAAAACTGAATCAGTAATCAAAGAATTCCCAACAAAGTCCAGACCAGGGAGCTTCACAGGTGAATTCTACCCAAACATTTCAAGAAGGGTGAATACCTATTCCTTTCATACTATTCCAAAAAATAGAAGAGGAAAGAAAGCTTCCAAATTCATTCTGTGAGGTCAGCATTACCCTGATACCAAAACTAGATAAAGATACAAAAAGATACAAAACAACAAAAAGAACTACAGGTCAACAGGTGTAAAAACCCTCAACAAAATATTAGCAAACCAATCTAACAATACAGTAAAAAAAAAATCATTTACCAGTATCAGGTGGGATTTATTCCTGGGTTGCCAGGGTGGTTCAACATCTGCAAATCGATCAGTGTGATACAGCATATCAACAAGAGAAAGGATAAAAACCATGTTCATTTCAATAGATGCAGAAAAAGCACATGACAGACTACAATATCCACTCGTGATTAAAACCCTCAATAAAGCAGATCTAGAGGGAACACACGTCAGCAAAATAAAGGCCATATATTAAAAACCCACAGCTAACTTCATACTCCGTGAAAACCTGAGAGCTTCCCCCTAAGATCAGGAACCAAGAAAAGGATGTTCACTTTCACCACTTTTATTCAACACAGTGGCTGGAAGTCCTAGCTGCAGCCATCAGACAACAAAAGAAACAAAAGGCATCCACATTGGTAAGAAAGAAGCAAAACTTTAGTGAAAGACATGACAGGATACTTTTCATAGAAAACCCTTAAGATTCCACCAAAAACTACCAGAACTAGTAAATGAATTCAGTAAGGCTACAGGATAC